CCCCCCCGTGGCTAAACCCCGGCCCGGTACCGGCGACTCCGGAATGGGCTGTGAGGAAACGGCGACCAACGAGGGGAAATGAGTGCGACCCGGAAGCAGAACCGCAGAGACCGGAAGTGACACTAGCCCCAGGCAACTGCCACGGGGCCTCGCCTGCTCTGCGCACACGCTAACTCCGCTCCGCCCCCTCAGCCTCTTGACCAATAAGCGCCTGCCTCTCTCGCCGGCCTCGCCCATCGCCGCTCGTGGCCCCGCCTCCGGGCTGGACGACCAATCAGCGCCGCCCTGGCGTCATGGGGCGGGGCCTCTTCCGCGGGACCTCCAACGGGGGGCGCGCTATCCCGGCGTCCTTTGCACGGGGGGGGGGGTTCTCCATGGCGGGGGGGTGTGATCTCTGTGGGCACCGTCAGTGTGGTGGGCTTCTCGCCATGGGGCACTCTGTAGGCCTCTCCCCGTGGCTTGGGGACCCACCTGCGGGGTGAGGACCCCTCCGTGGGGCTGTTCTGCCCATGGGTGGGACCCCTCTGTGGGTCGGGGACCCTGCTATGGGGCTGTCCTCTTCCCCCATAGCGTGGGGGCCCACTGATAAGGCGCGGATGCACCCCCCAAGAGTTTCGGACCCCTCTGTGGGGTGAGGACCCCTCTGTGGGGCCAGCTCCCCCCACAGGGTGGGCACCCATCACGGGCAGGGATGCCTGTGCCCTCCCCTGCCCCCCGGGTGCTCCGAGCTGTGAGCAGGGTAGGGATGAGGTGCTGTGGGGTGACCTTGTATCCCCCCCCGCCAGGCCCTGCCATGACACCTCCAAACCCTCTGCTTTCCTCAGAACACCCTCATTCCCCCACGGGGCTGGCAGCCCCCCCTAGCATCCATCCAGGGTTCCCAGAGACCCTTCCTTCTCCCTCCACAGCTCCATGTCCGAGGGGACACTGCCACCACAGACTGATGCCGGGAGGTTTTGGGGTCCGCCTGTAGCTGGGAGCATCTTCTTGCCTGTCGGGACCCCCATAAACCACCATTTCCTCAGGTGCCCCCCAATGCTTGGCTGACAGCACCAATCTGGGGGTAGAGGGGGGTCACCATGTCCCCATTCCCCAAAACCAGCATCCCTCCACAGTCCGCTGCGGCACCTGGCATCGATCCCAGCACCGCCGAAGCTTTTCCCATCCTAGGGGCACAGAGCACTTCCCAGTCACCCTCGCCCCTCGCCGGGAGGCCGTAACCTTTATCATCCAGCCACCGGCTCCTCCGGCCCGGCGCGGTCTCCATGGGAGCGCACCGGGTTGCTAAGCCGTCCGGTGGAGTGCTTGCCACCACTGCCAGTACATCGAGCCGTTGATATGACAACTGGAGCGGGGACACGGGTGGCCCGGGGCGTGGTGCTTCGCATGACGGGGCCAGCGGCCCCCGGCGGGGAGGGGTCCCGGCCAAGCCTCGTCGCCGCGCCGGGACTTCCCCGCTGGCTGTAAAAACCCACCAGGTTGGGCTGGCAACCCCTTGCCGTGCTGAAAACCATCCGGCACACCGGTAAATAAATTTACCAGTGAGAGGAAGCGAGCGGGAAGAGCGCGACCCGCATCCTCCCCTGGCGCAAAGGGCCACGGCCCCAAGATGTGGGGTGAGAGGGCTGAGCCCGCCGGGGCGCCGGGCCCCTCTCCCTGCCCCTCTGCTTGAGGGTACGGAGGCTGGAGGGAGAGGGGGGGGAGAGATCGGGACCCCTCCTCAGCGGGTGCTGGAGAAGAGGCGGCTGCTGCCAGGCGTCGATGAGATAAAGCGGCAAAAGTGGAGCATCCCCCTGCGGAGCGAGGGACGGAGCAGCCCAGCGCCGGCCAGACGACTGCCGGGACGGGGAAGGGGGCTTGCTCCCCGGGCCAGGCACCGCGGCGGGGTGCCCAGGGATTGGGGGGGGGACGGCTCGGCCCGCAGCCCACCCCGCCCCGACGGCTGCCCCCATGCTGGATCACCGAGCCAGGATGGAGAGCGGCAGGAAGGAGAAGGTGAGGCTGCTGCCGGGGCGATCCCAGGGGGGCCTGGTGGGGACATGGGGTGGGGGGCACATGGCAGGTGCAGGGAGCGGTGCAGATCCTCCCTGGGGTGCCAGCCATCCCTGTGGCAAGCGGCCGGGTGCTGCGGGCGTCTCCTGCTGGGCAAGGTTCCTGTTGGGGACAGACGTAGCCGGGAGGGAGGTTGGCTGGCGGGGAGGACACCGGCTCCGGGGGCAAAGCCGTGCAGCCTGGGGTCAGCCCCGATGTGCCCGGGGGTCCCCATCCTTGAGGTCACCCCTCGGCATGCTCCAGGAAGGGGGGCCAGCGCCGTAAGTCAGGGCTCTGCGTTTTGGTACGTTGGGTCTTGGCGCGGCACGGGTCGTGCCGCTTCCCCACGCTGCCAAGGACTCGGAACAGAGCTGGGAGTGTCTGTGGGACCCCACTGCCTGGCTGGGATGCTCCTGCTGCCCAGGCATTGCCGACGGCATCTTGCTGCCAGCCAAGTGGCTGCCGTCCCCGGGATGATATGGGGCCCATCACCTCCTTCGGCTGCTCATCACGTTGTCACCAAGGTACCTGGCTCATCCCCAGCAAAACGTCGGCTGGAAGCAGCTGCTCCCATCTCCTCTCCCGGATGGATTGAGCTCATGGGGCTGTGGGCGAGGACAGCGAGATGCTTCCCTGCTGTGGACGAGGACATCCAAGGGGACACTGAGGGGACACGGCACGTGCTGGGGGCAGGAGCGTGTGGTTGGCAGTCGGGCATCGCCGGCCACCACAGCCTTTGGCCGTGCAGTTTCCAGCTTTGTCCTCTTTGTGGGGTGCACCAGAGCAAACAGTTTCCTTGGGAAGCCGAGAGCCAGTTTCGATCACATGGCAACAGCCAAATCCTGCCAAGGAAGAGCCAAACCCATCGTTTTGGTGGCAAGAGAAGGGATGAGTTGGGGCATGCGGTGCCTGAGACGGAAGAACTATTGAAGAAATAAAACTCAGACCCTCCGTTGCCATCCTCGGGTGCCAGCCCCAAGAACGGGGACACTCTGGCTGCAGCAAATTTGGTGTTCGTGTGCCAAACGATGCTGCAGGATGGCTTCTGCATTGTGGAGCGCCAAATGCCTTCAGCCACTGGCTCCAGCGAGATGGTCAAATCCGGCCCTACGCTTTTCCTGGCAGGATTTTTCCAGCTGGCCCAGGCTGAACACCCTCAGGGTCATGGCAAACCTCACCACGGTGCTGCCTCGGGCTGCCCCAGCCCCTTTCTGGGGTGGCCGGTGTCATCCCGCAGCACAGCAGCATCCCCCATGGTGTAGCCATGCCTTGTCTAACAGCACCTTGGGGGTTCAGTGTTAATGGAGCCCCCGGGCTCTGGCATCAGGGCAGACCAGGGAGGATGCCTGGAGAGGTGCTGGGGTGCTGGGATCGGGGGGATCGGCTGAAGACCCCCAGGCATGAGGGCTCTGCAAAGCAGGAGCTTTTGGGGTGAGGACATATTTGGGATGAGCCCTCGCTTGGGGGGCTGGAGACTGAGGGGTGGCATTTGGGGCCAGGTGATTTATTGGGATGCGCTGGGGGGTCAGGGTGAGCAGCCGCAGGTTTGGCTGACCCGAGGTGGTGGGTGTTCTCCCGATGCCAGGATGTTCCAAACCACAATACAAAGCATTTTACAGAGCCCCCCACCCTGAAACACATCGGGAAATGGCAGCAGCCTCGAGGAAAACATCCGTCTGCCGGCAAAAGTGCAAGCGGGAGCATTTTAAGCTTGCCCGGATCCCGGTGACTAATGAGCCCTCTAATGCCGCCGGCTACATCTGGCCGAGCAGCGAGCGCTCTCTCCCCCCCGGCTCCATCTGACAGCTCGGGGCTGCCTGCCCCCGATTACGTGCCGTGGTTAATGGAGGCTGCACCAGCGGCGGAGCCCGGGGTTGCTACGTAAAGGGTAAATACAGGTCCTGCTTCCCTTGAGTGGGCCCTGCGATTCTCCCTGGTAGCGAGGCAAGGGAGCATTTCCTGATAATACTCTTTATATCCTGCCTCCAGTCCTGCCTGCCTGCCTGCCTGCCCTCGGCCCCCCATTTGCACCACGTTTGATAGGTAGAAAATGGTACCCGCAGTTCCTGGGGGGATACAGGGAGAGGGATGCTCCTGGCTCCTGGGGGACCAAGGAGGATGCCGGCATCCTCATCACAGACATGGAGGGGTCCCACGTCCTTGGTGGGAGCCGCTGAGCTCCTAAATAGCATCGCTGGAAGTGCTCCTTGCTGGGAAAAACCCTGGGATTGGACGGGATGGGACGTCCCATGTCACTGGTCCAAGCCCTGCTGGAATGGCACCGGCTTCAATGCAACCAGCCGAGCTCATGAAACATCAACTGGCTGAAGGTGACAGCATGGGGACCCCTGTGCCGACCATGGATGTCTCGCAGGCAGCACCGGGAAAGGATTTGGAGCCAGCAGTGGCTCATGCTGGTCCTGCAGTTTCACTGTCACGTCTGTTAGGTCGGAGGCAGGATAGTGGAGAGATGGGATAAGGTGTTTCAGGGTGTCTGTGTGCTGATGGGGAAAACCCAGGCCAGGGGAAGGAAAATTTGGATTATTTATTGTGGTTCAGGCCACCTGCATCCCATAGCTCCTGTCCCCAGCTGACACCGTCTGTCCCACCGCAGGTGGAGCAGATCCTGTCAGAGTTTCAGCTGAAGGAGGAAGACCTGAAGAAGGTGATGTACCGGATGCAAAAAGAGATGGACCGAGGGCTAAAGCTGGAGACGCATGAGGAAGCCTCCGTCAAAATGCTGCCCACTTACGTCCGCTCCACACCCGAGGGCTCAGGTACGGCTCTGCTGGCCTGGATGGGCGTCGCTCCCAGCCATTTGCACCATCACCTCTTCCCTGGACATCGCCAAGCTCGGTGTGGGAGGCTGAGAACCCCCCTGAGCTGGTCACCTTGTGTCCCCCCTCCCCGGCTTTGCAGAGGTCGGAGATTTCCTGTCACTGGACCTAGGCGGCACCAATTTCCGCGTGATGCTGGTGAAAGTGGGCGAGGGGGAGGAAGGGCAGTGGAAGGTGAAGACGAAGCACCAGATGTACTCCATCCCAGAGGATGCCATGACAGGGACGGCCGAGATGGTGAGCTGGGCACATGGGGCATCCCATCCCCTCCCGCATTGTCCCCTGTCACCGGGCAGGGACACACCATGCCGTGTTTCGGTGGGGACGCCGGCAGGTACATCCCTCATCCCTCCAGCTGGCAAAAGCCGGAGGGTGGTGGGGAGGTGGCCACGCTTGGGGGACCCGTGGTGAGAATGGTGGCCAGCTGCAGGCAGTGGGAGGATGGGAACAGCCCTGGTGAAGGCTGGACTTCCTCTCTTCCAGCTCTTCGACTACATCTCCGAGTGCATCTCCGATTTCCTGGACAAGCACCAGATGAAGCACAAAAAGCTGCCCCTGGGCTTTACCTTCTCCTTCCCCGTGCGGCACGAGGACATCGACAAGGTGAGGGGGTGGCTGGGCAGCCTGAGGACTTGGGGGTCCCCATGACCCAGCTACACGTACCACAGCCCCATTTTGGTCTTACCCTCTCTCTAGGGCATCCTCCTGAATTGGACCAAGGGCTTCAAAGCCTCTGGCGCGGAAGGGAACAACGTGGTCGGGCTCCTAAGAGACGCCATCAAACGGCGAGGGGTGAGATGATCATATGGTTTGTGCTAGTGCCGCAGTGGTGGGGAGACCCCCGCGCCCCCGGATGTCCCCGCAATGGGGGTGCTGGAGCCCGGCGTGTCCCCGGGAAGGTCGTTCCATGCGTGTGCACACACGTGTGTGTGACACATGCATGCATCCTCACCCTCGGGGACCCCCCCACCCCAGACCCGCCTGCCGCGGCACAGCCCAGACCCCTGGCGAGACCCCGATGGTACTTCTCCCCTCCCCAGGACTTCGAGATGGACGTGGTGGCGATGGTGAACGACACGGTGGCCACGATGATCTCCTGCTACTACGAAGATCACCGGTGCGAGGTTGGGATGATTGTGGGTAAGACGGCCCCTTCCCACAGGGACACGCGGCAGGCGAGGTGGGGGGACCATTCCCACGGCCCCGGTTACACTCCCCTGCTGTGAGCAGGGGCTTGTCCTTTTGCGGGGGGACACACTGAGGACAGGGGGGTGGCAGCAGCACCCTGCCGAGGTATCCTGAGGTTGGGATGCCGGACAGCATCGCCTGGCCCTGGCACGGTGGTGGGGGCACCTTTGGGGTAGAAAGGGGGTGGTCACCGTAACGGGTCTGGTCACCCATGGCACTGGTCCTTTCTCCAGGCTGCTGGTTGGTTCCAGCTTCTCACTGTATGGGTGGGGACCCACTGATGGTAACCAGTGCCGGCTGTGCCAGGGAGCCCGGGAGGTGGGGATGAGTTTGAACCCCGCAGACTCCTTTGCCCCCCCCCCAGGGGAGCAGCCCCCCACCACCCCCCAGACCCACGCTATCTTTAGTGCCATCAACCACGCGGCCATCTGGGCTTTCCGCACCAGCTCGCACCATCCCCTCAGCCTGGGTAAACACGGCGCCGCTGGTGCCGGGCTGTTTATCAGCTCCTCCAGAAGCCGAGCTGCCCTCACCACACAGCAGCCGGAGCCTCTGGGATGCCACGGTGGGCGTCCCTGACACCCACTGGGGACAAGCAGCTGGCCGGGGCTGCAGGAAAGGACCAGGGGAGAGCAGAAGCCCTGAGCTTCCCTGTCTACATCAGGATGGGGACACTGGCTGCCTCATGGAGCCTTCAGGGTGGGAGGGACGTGGGTGTCCGTGGGTCAGCATTGTTGTCCCCCCCTGCCACCACCTGGTCCCATTCCCGGTTCCCACTGGCAGGGACAGGCTGCAATGCCTGCTACATGGAGGAGATGCAGAACGTGGAGCTGGTGGAGGGCGACGAGGGGCGAATGTGCGTCAACACGGAGTGGGGGGCTTTTGGCGCCTCGGGGGAGCTGGACGAGTTCCTCCTGGAGTACGACCGCGTGGTGGACGAGACCTCACTTAACCCCGGTCAGCAACTGTAAGGAATAGGACAGATCCAGTTCCTCTGGGTGTCGCCCCCCCACTCCCCATCCCCAGCTGCGTCCCCTCTGCCCACCCTTCTCCTTCCCCCGGCCCACCCGCACCATGCTGGGCTCAGCTGAGGCCGGAGCAACTCATCACAGGTACCCCCAAAGCGGGGGTCCTTCGCCCCGGCCACTGTGCCCATGCGCAGGGACGTGTCCAGCAAGGGAGTGGGGGGGGGGGAGGAAAGAGGGGGGGCCATGGGGCGGAGCCCCCCCCTCCAAGTTCCAGCCCTGACGGCCGCTCCCTTGCCTGTGTCCCTCCCCCAGCTACGAGAAGATCATCGGGGGGAAGTACATGGGGGAGATCGTCCGGCTGGTGCTGCTGAAGCTGGTGGACGAGAACCTGCTCTTCAATGGGGAGGCCTCCGAGAAGCTCAAGACCCGTGGGACCTTCGAGACCCGCTTCATGTCACAGATCGAGAGGTATGGGGCCGACGGGGCCGTGGTGGGGGACTGACACCCCCAAACCAACGCGTTATGCTGCTCCGCGCTGGGGCTCTTCCATCCTGTCACCCCACAGCAGGCTGTCCCACATCAGGGTCCCTATGTCCTGTCACCCCGCAGTAGCTTGCTCTGTCCTGTAGTGGGGTCCCCTGTCCCGTCACCCCACAGCAGCCCTCTACAACTGCCCCATATTGGAGTCCCCATGTCCCCCGTCCCCTGGCTGATGCACCCCTCTCTCCCCGTCCCAGCGACTCCGACGACCGCAAGCAGATCTACAACATCCTGACGGCCTTCGAGCTGCTGCCCTCGGGGACGGACTGTGACATTGTGCGGATGGTCTGTGAGAGCGTCTCCACCCGTGCCGCCCAGATGTGCTCGGCCGGGCTGGCCGGCGTCATCAACCGCATGCGGGAAAGCCGGAGCCAGGAGACCCTCAAAATCACTGTGGGGGTTGACGGCTCCGTCTACAAGCTCCATCCCAGGTGAGGATCCCTGGGAGCCTTCCTCCTGCCACCACCCCCTTCCTCTTCCTCCTGCATCCCCCAGGCCTTGACCCAGTTCTTTTTTTCTCCTCTGGCAGCTTCAAGGACCGCTTCCATGCCACAGTTCGGCAGCTGACGCCTGGCTGCGATATCACCTTCATCCAGTCAGAGGAAGGCAGCGGCCGCGGGGCCGCGCTCATCTCGGCCGTCGCCTGCAAAATGGCCTGCATGATGGGGCAATGAGAGAGGACTCGGGGGGAGGATGAGGATGAGGATGGTGGGGGGGAGGGGGGAGGACAGTGGTCCCACTCGGAGCTCTGCGAGGAGCAGAGACGGACGCGGGAAGGGATTTGCCGCCGGCAGAGGTGGCTCCTGGCTCCCCAATAAACGGGGTTTGCGTGGACTTCTCCTCCGGGGCCACTTGAGTGCTCCTCGTCTCCCCCATGCTTGCAGGCAGACCCCCCACCATGGGGCTGCCCCACACATGTGGGGCAGCCGAGGGTGTTCCTGTGTCTCCCCAGCCCCCTGCATCCTCCCCCAGCTGCAGGGAGTGGGGCTTCTGCACGCTCCCCCAGCCCCTTTGCTGGGGGTGGGACCCCCTTGGGGGGATTGGCCAAGAGAGAAGGGACCGGTTGGGGGATACTTGGGGGTCAGGGGTGGTCGGAGGGGGCCAGGCCAGCCCCCACCGGTGAGCCCCGGGGGTGCAGAGACCAACCGGGGTGGACCAGAGCTGTGCCAGATGCTGCGGGGCACCGATTTTTGGGGATCCCCTCCAGCCTTGTCCCCGCAACGGGGACAGGGTGGGAGGCAGAGCCTGGGGGCACCCCAGCCTCCCCCCCCAGCACTGACCCCCCCCAAAAGAGGGAACAGACCCCCGCTGAGGGCTAAATCCCGCTCCTGCCAGCAGCAGGACCCCCAAATCCAGCAGGTCCCAGCCCACGCCAAACAGGGGGGCACATGGGTGACCCCTCGCCCAGGGCTGTTTCATGCTCCAGGATGCCACGGCTCGGCCACCTTCCCAAGCAGCCAAAAATAGCGTGGCCCCCCCTCCAGTGACAGGCGGGGGACCTGGCCTGGCTTGTGTCCGGCACAGCCCGGCGGTGTCAGCGCCCGGTGCCAGCACCAAGTTTGGCTTGTCCACCCACCTGCATCCGCCGCCCGATTTAGCTCGGGGTGATAAGGGGGGGAATAAAAGCCGGGGCAACCCGGGGACCCCTGGCCCAGGGCTGTGGCAGGGATGGTGAGTGCGGCTGGGGAACCCCCGCGGGCACTGGGGAGGGGGGCACCCTGGGGTGTGGGGATACTGCAGGGGGGACTGGGGGAACCCCAGGGTGTTGGGGTCCCTCTGGGTCTGTGGGAGCACCCCAGGGAGTTGGTGTCCTCCTGGGGCACCCCAGGGTTTTGGGTCCCCCAGAGGGTCTGGGGCAGGGTGTTGGGGTCCCTCTGAGGGTCTGGGGGCACCCCAGGGAGTTGGGCCCCCTTTGGGGGTCTGGGAGCACCCCAGGGTCTGAGACCCACTCAGCCTGTTGGACTCACCCCGGGGCTGTGGGGCCACCCCATGGGATGGGCCATGTTGGGGGTCTGGGGACACCCTTGGGTGTCTGGGGCCACCACATGGGTCTGGGCCACCCCAGGGGGTCTGGGGCCACCCTGGAACACGGGGGCACCCCGGGATCTAGGGACAGCTCAGGGTGTTGGGGTCTCCCAGGGTCCTGGGGCCACCCTTGGGCGTCCAGGGCCACTCTGGGGGTCTGGGGTCACCACAGGGTGTGGGGCCACCCTGGGGGTCTGGGGTCACCGGGGGGTTCTGCGGCCAACCCAAAGGGCAGGGTCACCCTGGGGGGCTGGGGACACTGCGGGGGGTGCGGGGCAGCCCTGGGGTCTGGGTCACCCCCAGGGATGGGGCCACCCCAGCGGTGCCGCCCCTGAAGCCCCCAGACCTACAGGTGGCAGCACCGGGATCCCCCCACCTCATTGGAGGAGGGGAAGGGGATCCCTTCTGCTCTGATTGGCTGCAGCCAGCAGGATTCCCTGTGTTCTGACTGGCTGCGGCCAAGGGTTTCCTGTGCTCATTGGCCGTGGCCAAAATAGATTCCTTGCGCTCTGATTGGCCAAAGCCAAACAAAAGGGAATCCCTGCGCTCCAATTGGCTGTGACCAAAATAAAAGGGAGGGGCTCCCTGCACTCTGATTGGCTGGGGCCAAAAAAAAAAGGGATTCCCTGTGCTCCAATTGGTTGGGGGCAAACAAAAGGGATTCCCTGCACTCTCATTGGCCAAGCCCAAACAAAAGGGATTCCCTGCGCTCCGATTGGCCGGGCCCAAACGAAGGGGATTCCCTGTGCTCTGATTGGCTGAGGCTGAACCAAGCCTTCCCCTGCCACCCCGGTTGGCTCCCGCAGGCCAGCAGGCGGGCAGGCAGGCGTGGCGGGGCAGCAGCCCGGCGGGCGCAGCGCGGCTCCTCCAATGTCTTCTCCGTGTTCGAGCAGTCGCAGGTCCAGGAGTTCAAGGAGGTAGCGGGCGGGGGGGGCCAGGGTGGGGAGGCCGGGGGCTGGGCCCCTCCTGATCCCCCCCCCTCGCCTGCTCTGCTCCAGGCCTTCAGCTGCATCGACCAGAACCGGGACGGGATCATCACCAAGGCGGATCTGAAGGAGACCTACTGGCAGCTGGGTCAGCGGGTGCTGCGTGGGGATGGGGACTGGGACTGGGACCGGGATGGTGACAGTGCCAGCGAGGGGGGACAGTGATAGTGCCAAGTGTGGGACAGTGACAGGGCCAAGTGGGGAGGCAATGGTGATGCCAGACTGTGGACAGTGGCAGTGCCAAGCGGGGGACAGTGACGATGCCGGTTTGGGGACAGCGACAATGCCAAGCGTTGGGACAGTTGGCGATACCGTGTGTGGGATGGTGACAATGCCAAGTTGGGGACAGCAACGGTGATGCCAGGCACGGGGCAGTGACAGTGCCAAGGGTGGGAACAGATGTGGTGCCAGGCACGGGGAAGGGACGGTGCCAAGCGAGGGGACAGTGACGGTGCAAAGCCCAGGGCACTGACAGCCAGGGCCACCCAGTGTGTGGGGAGGGAACCACTCCCTTTATCCTCCAAGGGACATGTCCCAGTGCTCCAGCTGGCATCGCCAGTGGCACCTCTCCCCTCCCGGGGCCAGGCTGTCCCCCGTGCCCAGTGCCACGTGGCCTCGTCATCGTGTTCCCCACCCCACCAGGGAAGACAAATGTGAGCGACGAGGAGCTGGAGAAGATGCTGAAGGAGGGGAAGGGGCCCATTAACTTCACCGTCTTCCTGACACTCTTTGGGGAGAAGCTGAATGGTGAGTGGCCCCGGATGTCCCCCGACGTCCCCCAATGTCCCCCGACATCCCCAGGGGTCGGCCCCAAACTCCACCTAACACCCCCCCCACCCCCAGGCACCGACCCCGAGGAGTCCATCCTCAACGCCTTCAAGGTCTTTGACCCCGCCGGCACCGGTACCGTGAACAAGGACGAGTGAGTGGGGGGCGGCAGGGACCCTTGGGGCACCCGGCCGGATCCTGCATCCCCTGGGATGAGGACAGGAGCCGGCCCCGGGCTCAGCCGCTCCCTCTTTCCACAGGTTTAAGCAGCTTCTCCTGACCCAGGCAGATAAGTTCTCCCCGGAGGAGGTGAGGCAGCTCCCCTGGCTGTCACCGTCACTGTCCTGGTCCCCTGCTCTGGCCTCTGCCCACCCTGTCCCCTCATGTGTCCCTGCACAAGAGGGGAAACAGGACCCTTGGGGGAAGCGGGTATCCAGGACGTCCAGCTCTGCCTGCCCATGGGGAGACGTGGGGAGGGGGACACAGCCCACTGCCCCAGATCCCTCTGTCCCCCCCAAAGACCCTGTCCCCAAGGTTCCCTGTGTGCCCGGCCCCATCCCTGCAATCCCACATGCCCCACAGGGATCCTGTCCCCAAGATTGCCATGTGTCTCCCATGATCCCTGACCCCAAGATCCTGGACCCAATCCCCAAGGTCCGTGTGTGTCCTCCGAGGTCCCTGTCCCTGCATGGCACCCCACAGGGACCCGTCCCAGCCCCCCGGGTGTGTGTCCCCACGCAGGTGGAGCAGATGTTCGCAGTGACGCCCATCGATGTCTCGGGGAACATCGACTACAAGTCCCTGTGCTACATCATCACCCACGGGGACGAGAAGGAGGACTGAGGGGACAGCGGGTCCCCTGCCCCCCGCCGCTCACTCTGGACAAATAAACCACCAAACGAGGGGATCTCGTCTGTCCATACCGTCCCCAGGGAGGGAGGTGACTCTGCTCAGCCTGGGCTTTGCACCCTTGCACAGCTCCTGGTGTCCCCTTGAAGCTGGCATGTCCCCAACACAAGGGACAGCCCACCCCCCCCGCAAAGGATGGGCTCCCAGGGGACCCCCAGCACAAGGCGTGGCAGGGCCACTGTCCCCAGGAGATGCGGTGGCCCAGGGCAAGATGCTTTATTGCACAGGGAGGGAGATCCGGGGGGCCGGGGTGGCAGGTGGGGCTGGGAGGGGGTTCAGGGTTCGGGGGGTGGCACTCAGGGCCAGCTGCGGGGCTGAGCCCTGTGGAGGCAAGGAAGGAGCGGTGAGTTGGGGGCCACCGTCCCCCTGTCACCCCAACTCAGGTGCCAGCAAAAGTGGCTCCTCCAACCTTCCCCCCGCCTCCTCCGGGATGCATTTTGGGGTCCCCTGTCTCACCCCCACCCTACAGAGGTGCAGGCAGGTTCTCTCCTGGAGACACAGGACCCCCAAGTGCCCTCCCACACCCAGGACAGGCATGGGGTGTGAGGTGCAGGTTACGGGGTGTGGGTGCGGGACGGAGGTCAAGGGACGGAAGATGAGGGACGGACACGGGACGCAGGTGCTGACCAGGCTCAGGACTTGCAGAAGCCGATGGCGACGCAGGTGTCCTGGGGCTCGTCGCCATTCTGCAGCGCCTCGCTGATCTGCTCCCAGTACTTCCTCACCAGCCGCTTGCAAAGGCGGCCCAGGCGTTTCCCCAGGGCCCGGCAGGCCTTGCCCAGCGCCGCCTCCACCGCTGCCTGCCAGGACCAGCCCCGGCGGCATCAGCGGGGCCCTGTGTGGGGCGACGGCCCCCCATTCTGCTCCCCCAAGCTCCCCCACCCCGGCTGCCCCCTCACCTCATCGGGGTTGTCACCCGCCATCGCCTTGATCTGCTCCAGGATTTTGGTGCACAGGCTGCACTTCTTCCCCTTGCCGGGCACTGTCGCGGTCCATTCGGCCACATCCCCTCCGGCCACGGTCCACTGCGGGGTGGGGGACACAAAGCAGACCCTCAGGTCTGGGCTGGGTCCCCCACAGCATGGCCCCAACACAAGCGGGGGGCTGCCCCACGGCTGGTGTCAAGGCCGTGGGGCAGCAGGGCTGGTGCTTACCAGGTCCAGGCTGTCCCAGAGGTCGCGGCAGTCCTGCTCCCTGTGGCACCGGGTGGCGGTGGCCACATCCTGGCACCAGGACACGGGGCCACCCTGGCAGGGCTCGGGGACCGTGGCCTGCACCGCTGAGTGGGTACAGGGACAGTGAGCAGGGCCGCGGGAGTGCGTGCCCATCACCAAGGTCCCTTTGTGCCCCAGGGGTGCCCAGACCCCGTCCCCACCAGCTCCGGGTGCTTGACCCTGCTCAGCCCCTGACCCTGCCATCCTGCCTGCTTGTCCGCCCGTCCTCCTGTCCCCCCATCCCCGGGTCCCCATGCCTCCTCCTCCCCTCCACCCCGGGGGGCCCGTCCCCCCACCCCCTCCTCCTCCAGGACTCGAGGCCAGAGGGACCCCCGTTACCTCCCACTGCCACCAGCACCAAGAGGAAGGCGGCAGCCATGGTGAGCCCACTCGAGAGGGTGACAGCGGGTGACAGCAGGTGACAACAGCCAGCGTGTGACCCACCCCGACGGCTTTTATAGCCCGCCGAGCGGGCTGCGGGGACGGCTGCGCCACTCAGCGCCACCGAAACCCCAAAAAACCCTTAAAATGGAGCGACACCAGCTCGCCAAACCCCTTCCTCCCTCACACCTCCGCCCCCGCGGCAGGAAGGGGAGACGGGACCGGGGAGGGGGTGGGGAGCCTGGCCTGAACCCCGGGACCCCCCCAAAAAACCCACCCGCGGGACCCCCAGGGCGCGGGAGCGGGAGTGCTGCCGGTGGCCCCCAACACTCAGCCACCCACGAGCCCCTCCAAAGTGTGGGACGGGACGTGGGTGTGGGGCCGGACCCTCCTGGGCTCCGTCCCGGTGCTCCCCCCGCCCCGTCCCCTCCCGGGCCCTGTGGGGTCCCGGGGCTCGGGCCCAGTGTCCCGGTCCCCCCCCGCAGGGCTCGGGTCCGGTGTCCCCTGTCCCCCGCCACGGGCTCCGTGGGGTCCTGGGGGTCCGTCGCGGTGTCCCCCCCCATCCCCTCCAGGACTCCCTGAGGTCCCGGGGTTCGGGCCCGGAGTCCCCGCTCCCCCACCCCCCCGGCTTCCACGGTAACGGCCTCGCGCCTCCGCCACCAGCGGTTGCCACGGCAACCCGCCGCCTTGACGCCACTTCCGCCCGGCGGCCACGCGACTTCCGGGCTTTACGGCGTTCGCGCCTTTTCCC